GCACCGCCACACGCGTCTTGGTGCACAGGCTGCTTGGCTTGTGAGTCATACCCGGCACAGCCACCTTCTAGAATTCCATCGAACTCTGGCCTGCCCGCGAGCTGAGGAACACCACAGAACCTTGAACCGCAGTGCCACTCCCTCTCGGCTATAAATAGCCCTGCTCTCTCTTCTGCTGAATGAACTCCAGATCTGATCTCACAAGCTAGTCGCCTACGCCCTTCGCCCGGCCTGCCTCTCCCCTGCGGTCGATCTCGCGTCCAACAACACAACGAAAGCCCCTTTAGCTTAGCGGTAGAGCGTCCGCCTCGTAAGCGGAAGGTCGGGTGTTCAATCCACCCAGGGGGCATTCGGATTCACTTTTGCATTCTTTTTGCTCCTTGCGACACTGGTGGATCCAACCCCCGCCCACTCATCGTCTGCTCACTGCTGTCGCTTCCCTTTTGCCCGTCTGTGCGCTGCTGTGCGCTGCTGTGCTTGCAGCGACGCAGATGGTGCCATTTCGTTCATTTGGATGTGGCTGGGATTGCATGCTGCACAAGCGCTGTCTGGTCGCTCAGGCGTCAATCAGACCAACCACGCCGCATGCAAGGCGGCCGCCTGAATTGCCAACAACCTTGGACAGCGGGTTGTTGGTCAGTCCCAGATCGTCTTGGTTTGCGTGGATGACCAGCGCGCGGCCGATGATGCTGCGCTCGCCAAACAGAGATGCGAGACGGTCGGTGAAGCGCTGCTGGAACCGGCCGTCGGCACCGACATCCATGTTGCCAAAGTCTCCGACATGGCGCGTGCGTGCGTTTGGTGCGCCATGGTTGACGTTGAACGGGTTAAAGTGCACTGTTGCCAGCCGGGACCGTCATGGTGGATCGATGCATCGGCGTTGTGAGTATTGTGGAGGCTATGACAGCAGCGCAGTGGTGGTCGGGGACGGGGGAGAGCATGCAAGACAAGCAAGGCGAGAGCAAAGGACTCACAGCCAGCAGCAGTGCAGTTGGGGAAGATGTTGCCCGACACATGCACGTGCCATCCGTGCTTGCCTGGCGGGATGCCGGCCAGATCGGCAATCACCTGGATCTTGCTGGTGGGCGAGTTCTGCACAAACGCAACCGTGCCAGAGATGGACGCGCCAGCCGGCTGTGTTGGGTCTGGGCGGATGTTGACAATCGCACGGCGCTGCACTGCGGGCGGACGTGGACGTGGGCGGTTGTGCTCGCGTGGACGGTCGAGTCGCCACCAGCTTTCTCTGGCAGCAGCAAACGTGGCTGATGGATGGCCGCTGTACGAGTCGTACTCGTCCTTATCGTCGTCCTTGTCGTCATTTTTGCTGTCGTCGTACTCGTCCTCGTCCTCTCTGTCCCAGCAGAACGAGCGATCCTTGTCGACAGCCACAATGCACTTGTCAAAGTACCTTCAATGCAGAGCGGAGCAAGCGGCAGTGTGAGTGGCGTGTACCGCAGACAGAGCGGACTGTTGTCGGTGCCCTTCCACATTTCCCTTTTCTCCATTTTGCATTTCTCTTTGGGTTGTCGTCACTTCAATACTAGCTCAATTTCCAGTCCTCGTCGTTCCTGTTCTATAGCTGCGCCCAACATTTTTTTTGACTGAGTGTTGAGACGTTGAGCAGCGACAACCCATGGCGCCAAACAGACGCACCAGGAGGAGTCTCGGACGGCCGAGGAGAAGCGCCAGGCTCGCAGCTCAGCCAGGCAGTGCCTCTCCGGCACCGAGCGAGGTCTCTGACCACGGACTTGACGCCGACCACGAGTCCGTACACCCAGGTCAGTCCTTCTTTCCTCCACACCGATTCCGCAGGCTGCCTTTGCTTCGCACCACACACCTCGCCTCTCCTCGCCTACTCTCTACCCACTCCTGCCTGCTGTGCACCACCACCACTATCCATCCTGTCCCTCCTGCCTGTCTCTCTTACGCTGCCTGCCCTCTGCGCTGTGGCACATCGAGCGTGAGCCCGCTACCTGTCGCAACCTCGCGGCGCAATGTTGGCTCCATATGGTGTCGCATCCACGTCATCGGGCACCAGTGCCATGGCGTGATCTTGCACCCATCACCGGTCCAGGCCGAAGACGGGTTCAGCGCCTATGCCGGATCCGCTCCGATGCCGGTCAACCGACGATCTGCCCAGTGCACACATACACACACTCGGGCCCAGCCCCAGGCTCAGGCCACACACACACACACACACACACACACACACACACACACACACACACACACACACACACACACACACACACACACACACTCACACACGCGCCGATCTCCTTAGATGCGCACGCCGATGCCGAGCAGGAGCATGATTCCTCCGCATCGCAACTCTCCGACGCCCAGTCAAGCAGCGAGGCAGAATCCGTGGCTTCCACGGCCCATTCCAACCGCACCGTACGCACCCTGCACCACCGCAGAGATAGCATCGCCTCGTCTCCGACCAGACCCTCTCCTTCGGTCAGATCCAGCATGAGCAGCTCCCGCATTGCCACGAGACCGGGAGACCTGCGTCATGTACTCGACCACGGGGTCAACCCCAATCTCCTCCTTGCGCAGCTCGCACCCCCCCGTGCGCACGTCGAGACAAGTGACGGTGTACTTGCTGCACTCAACAGTCGTATCAACACCCTGCTCTACGAGGGGTCAACCGACCGCAGGCTTTTGGAGATGTTGCTTTCCGCCAGAGCTCAAGCCATGTCACCCACGTCACACGCAGACGCGTCGAGCAGCGCACCCCGCTCCGCGTCCTCCTCATCGCAACCGGCACCAATCCCGAGAACGCGCTCCCGCGAGTCCAGAGCACGGGACCTGCAGATCGCAGCCACCGCCGCACGTGCATTTTTCAGAGAGTCGGACATGCAACTTCCTCGCGAGCATCCCCTCATGCCGCACTACCTCGCACACAGCCTTCAGCAGTACGCCCCGAGTGTCGAGATCGCGCTCCAGCATCTTCCTGCCATCTTCATCCAGCTACTCCAGGCGCACAGTACACGCGAGGTTGCCGAGATCGGTACCAGGACATCCAATGGACTGCGTCACTTTGGGGATTCGTTCATTGACTGGGACACCTTTTACCCAGCATTCCAGTCCGCGTTGCACGACAATCGCCGCTACCGCAACAGCCTCGCCAATTGGGTTGCACGTCCATCCTTCCCGCCTGGCCTTGGCGACATTCTATCTCTCGACCTCTTCACTGGTGCTCTCGACACATTGAGGTTCCCGGACTCGAGCCGCGATGCACTCATCGACAACCTCTGTTCTCTGCTGTCCACCGGTGCACGCATGGCTTTTCGCACTCTGCTCTACACTGAGCGGAATCCATCCTACGATGCCACGACTGCGGTTCTCCGTCAGAAGCTCGAGAACCCCGCCTTCGCACTCGACGACCTCGAGATCGGGGAACTGCACTCGCAACAGTCACGCCGTCCAGCCCGCTCCTCTTTGTCGCGTCATGCTCCATACGCACGCTCGAGTACGACGGCCACCTCGGACTGCCGGGCAGTTCCGTTGCCACTACCACCGCTCTGACGGGCACACCACAGCTGAATGCCAGGCCATTGCTGACAGCAACAACCGACTCTCGTCAGCGCAACCGCACGCACTCTGAACTCGCCAACTCGATCAACGCAGTCTCGATCTCGCACTCGCAGTTGGGCGCATCTCTGCAGCAGGTGGCCAGCACGCAGACCAGCTCTGCTGTCGCGGCAACATCGCCTGTCCTGCATGTCCCTGTCATGTGCACTACCTCTTTTGCAGACTCTGCGGATCTCGTCTGGACCAACATCATCACGCCACCTCCAGCCAACACCCACTCAGCCCTCGTGGCCAACACGCGCCTTACCACCGACAGCCCACCTCTGTTGACAAGCACCAAGGCCAATCTGATCGTGGTTCCCATCACTGTCCACGGCTTGGCTTGTAGTGCTCTGGTCGACACCGGTGCCCAGTGCTCCATGCTGGATCCCGATATCTATGCCACCCTTGGCCTCAAGACCCACAGTGCATCCGGTTCTGTCCACCTTGCCTCGCGTGACGTGCCTCCCTTCCCGCGACTGGGCACGACCGATCCGCTCACGATCCGTTGCGGTGACCGCACCATATCTGCAGCCTTCGAGCTCCTTTCCACTCCTCCCGATCTGCCAGTCATCCTGGGTATGGACCTTCTGGGTCAGCTGGGCATTACGGTCTCGGGTCTGCCCTTTGCTCCTCCCGACACGCACAAACCATTCCGCACCTTCTCTGAGGAGCACAAGACCCCACTGGTTCACGGTGTTCGCTCGCCCGCAGAGGCACAAGAGGCTGCCGCGATCCTCGAGCTCATTCAGCCATTGATTGCTATCAACAGCGACATCAAGCTCGGCACCTTCTACAAGCATGGCGAGTACACCATCCGTCTCCCAACCGGCTCTGCTCCGCCTTTCTTCCGCCAGCAGTGGCCACTTCCTACGCCTAGCGTCGAGCACATCGATAAGGACATCCAGCACTGGCGCGCCTCTGGCATCATCGAGCCCTTCACCGGCGAGACGCAGTACAACAACCCGCTTTTCTGTGTCGCCAAGCGTGATCTCGAGGGCAACATGACCAGCCTGCGCACGGTCCTCGACCCGCGTCCGCTCAACAGCGTTCTGGACACGCCTGACTACCTCATCCCGCACATCAAGCAGATCTTTCAGGACGTTGGTGGCAGTACCATCTTCTCGACGCTCGATCTCATGACGTCGTTCCACCAGCTTCAGATCCATCCTGATGACCGCCACAAGACGGCATTCACGTGGAAACAATCCCGCTACGTTTTTGTCGGTGCACCTTTCGGCATCAAGCACCTCTCGGCCGCTTTCCAGCACATCATCTCCAACGAGCTTGGTGACCTGCATTTTGTGCGCATGTTCATTGACGACATTGTAGTCTTCTCCAAGGATGTCGCGTCACACGCACTCCATGTTGCAGAGGTACTCACTCGTCTGAACAAGGCCAATCTCAAGATCCGTCCTGAGAAGTGCCACTTTGGTCATCGCTCGATCAAGCTGCTGGGTCATGTCATCTCCGCCGCTGGCATACAGTCCGACCCCAAGCGCGTCTCAGACATTCTCGCATTGCCCGTCCCATCCACGCCTCTTCAGGTCGCTGCTCGCTTGGGCATGTACAACTACGTGCGCAACCACATCCCGAGATACGAGCGTATTGCGGCTCCCCTTGAGCGTCTGCGCAACGTCAAACCACACGACTTCCGCTGGGACCGGGATTGCGAGATCGCTCTTCGCACGCTCAACGCCGTCCTCGATCAGAACCTCCTCATCTCCTTCCCGGACTTCACCAAGCGTTTCTTTGTTGCCACGGACGCGTCCA